CGCGGCTCTATCACTTGCCAGAAGCGGCCGACGGAGGCCCCCTCCCCCGCCGTCTATCCTCCTGAATATCGCCTCGGATTCACTTCTCTGCACGTCCTACCTTCTAGTAAGTGGTCGCTTCTCTGTTCAGAGAGTTGTTGCTACTCTCTTCTTCGATCTCCTATTGAGTTCGTAGGTGTTCAGAATGGTTTGATCCCTATCCAGCTGAATTCCTGAGACCAGTAACAGGGAGCCTTTTGATTTATAAACATGGTATATGTCTCTGTTTATTTGGGACTTTGCTTTTTCTCATCAAGATTTTGCATACAGTTCTGGCCCCTTCCTGAGACTCTGCCTGGGCTCTGAGAAGGCATCGATAGGCTGTATGTACCTCATTTGTGTGTCAGGCATCTCAACCTAAGCTGCCTTTTCTCAGCCCCTTGTCACCCCTTCCCTGGAAGATGCTCCTTTCAATCTTCCATTGAAGTAAATGGCACTTCTCCTACCTAGTGGCTCACGCTAGAAAACTGGGTGTAACCCTTGAGGACCATCGTCATCCCCTCTTCCCACAGCCAGGAATAATTCTGCCTCCAAAACACATTTTTTGAAGCCTCTGCTTCTTTCCATCTATCCACTGTCCTTGCCCCGGACACCTCATCTCCCACCTGGACCATTGCAGTAGCTCCCCAATTCTTCTTACTTTTACTCTTCCTCCCACACAAGTGCTCTCTTCCCCTCCCCAGGGTGTTCCCTTTATAATGTCCATCTGATCATTTTGCCGCACTCTGCTTATAACCCACCAGAGGTGGGCGCCTCCATCGTTAAGCGTTTGCCTTTGACTCAGGTCATGATCCCAGGGTCCTGGTATCAAGCCCCACATCAGGATCCCTGCTCGGCGGGAAGCCTGCTTCTCCCTCTCCCACTCCCCCTGCTTGTGTTCCTGCTTTCGCTTTGTTTCTCTCTGTCAAATAAATAAAATCTTAAAACAAACAAAAACAAAAACAAAAAACCCACCAGAGGTGACACCCGCCCTTATGATAAAACCCACATCCCTTCCAGGGGCTTTTCGTACTCCCTCCCTCGCCTTGTTTCAAACACAAGGATCTGCTCGGGGCCCCTGCAGGGACAAACTCCTTTTAAGACCACGGCTCCTGGACATGTCTTTCCCTGCCTGGCATAGTCTCTCCACAGTCTTTGCCTGAACAGCTCCCACTCAGCTTCAGGTTCTATTGTAGGTGTCATTGACTCAGAAAGGCTCCATCATTCCTTCTCACTTTGTGAAAGTGAAAAAAATCACTTTATTTTTTTTCTTTTAACATTTGTAATGTCTGTTTACTGTTTCTCCAAACAGCGCAGATTTCTGATTCATTTCACAGATGTTGCAATGAGGCTGTTTGAGGGCCCTGTTGTGGAGGTTCCGGGTGTCACTGGTTCCCCCCTCAGCAAGGTTTGCCCAGAACCCTTGGGCAGGTTGTAGAGCCTCCCCCTGCCCTTGGCTGGGCCAGCACACCTAGTAGCCTGTGCCCTTGTGTGTTGGAGTGGGATCACAGCCTGGGGTTTCTCGTTGAGTAGCTACTCCCCCATAGCGCCTGGGAGAGGCCCAGAGAACAGGCCACGGCCTTCGACCTGTGTCCCACTGGCTGATCCCTCAGACACGCCTTGGCCCTATTTCTTCTCCCAAGGTCCCAGGCCCCCCCACCGTGTACTGTAGAGGTCAGCATGAGCAGGATGGACACCCTGACTTGGCTGGGGGCGAGGCCATGTCCTCCAGCGCCCTGCAGTGAACCCAGCAAGGGTTCAAGTCTTCCTGGCCTGCAGGGGCAGAAGTCACACACCCAGCAGGAGGCCGTGGAGTCCAGGTCCCAGGACTCCTGGTGCTTGACTCTTCCCACTGGTCCCTAGAAGGAAAGCAACTGCCAGGCACCTTGACCCCCACCCCACCCCCCGCCCCCCAGGCTAGGGGTCAGTATGGAAAGGTGGCCGCTGAGGGTCCAGAGCCGAGAGAGGCGGGACGGTCTGTACAAGCAGTGGGCCACACAGAGGAGAGGGGTACTAGTGATGTGGGGCTGAGACTTTTTTGGTGCAAGAGAGTTTTTATTATAGCCTGGGGACAGGACCTGTGGGCAGAAAGAGGTGCACTGGTGATTGTGAGGAGTGACCGATCACACACTTCTTACTTAGTGGGGGTTGGAGATAGCGTAGGTCTCTAAGGAATTTGGGAGCAAGGTTTGCAGGACCCTGAAGGGCTAGCTGTTAAGATAAGGTTATTCTCTACTGTCAAGTAAAACCTCAACCCTTCAGATATAAATCAATGGGCCATATGTTGACCGAAAATTGTTACCATATTTCCTGAGGTCACCACACCACTTTGGGGTGGGGCGGAGGCAAGAAGGAGCAACCGACCGTGGGTGGAGGTAGCCATGGGGTGAGGGCGTCCTGAGGGCCATTTGGGGAGGAGCGAGCTGGTGCCTGGGGTGGTCGGTTGGGCCAGGTGCGGTGGGCGAGGGCAGGGCTGAGGGACCCATTATGGAGGGGTGGGGGTCGCTCTATCCTTTCCCTGAGACCCCTGCGGCGCCTCCAAAGATGCTCTTCTCTCTGGAGGGTCTCGTGTCCTCTGCAGAGGGACCTCCGGAAAGCACTCGCAGGCCACCGCACGGTCGGCCCCCACCTGGGGCCCAGGCCCAGCTCCGGGTCCCCAGGGTGGTCCCCGCCGCCACCGCCGCAGTCGAGCAGACCCACAGACATGTCCAGACCGGGCTGCTGGCACTGTGCCTTTGCTCCCTGCTGAAAGCACCTCTGCCCTCCAGCTCAGTGACCCCGGGCTCGGGCTCCGTATCTGTTAAATGAACTTCCTGAAATTACCTACCCCTTGAGGTTAAGTCCTAAGTAAGATACACCGTGCAAAGTTGCTTCGTCCTGGTTTACAATCTTCACACTCCCCTTGGCCTTATGACCCTTCTTATGCATGCGATGAGCAAAGCGAGCCTCGGAGAAGTTAAGCTGCTGGGGGTCTCATAGCCAGGGAGTGACCCCTGGAGTTCAAACTCAGGGGGAGTCCAAAGCACAACCCTTAGCTCCGATTAAGGCAGAGGGCATGTCCTGGATGCCTGGTGGAGGTAAGGGGGCTGGTTCAGTTCTGTCCTCTCTTGCTTGGGCCTCAATTGCCACATGTGTTGAATGAACAAAGAGCAGAGCATGATCTCCAAGGTTGTGGCTACGGAGGCACAACTCCGCTCGCCCAGCCGGGCCCTTCAGTGCTGCCGCTGGTTCCAGGACGTGGGGCTGGCCAGCCTGACTCGAAGACAGGCTCGAGTCCAGGGGGGCTCTGCCTGACTCCAAGATGGGCAAGTGGCTCAGGGGTGGAGACAGTTTCAGGCCAGGGACCCCTCAGAGCTCCCTCCTTTGTCTGACAAACTTTCCCTTTCTAGAGAAGCGAGGGTTCCTGGGGGAGCCCCCCAAGGCCTCCCCTGAGACCCTGCAAGCCCCGTTGCCCCCACACCCCTGTCCCTGGTCCTGACATGGTCCTAAGGCAGCTGGGTCCTGATCTACTCCCTCTCTCACATCTCCCTGACCCTCCCCAGGGACCTCCGCAAACCCCCACCTCTCTCTTGAGCCCCCAGCCCTGCAGGGACCATTGAGCTGATCAGGTCAGTGCTGAGGGCTTCTGAGAGGAGGAGGAGGATCACTGGCTGAGGAAGACAGGCCCTTAACCACTCCCTCACTCTGCCTGCCCCCCCCCCCTTCCCCAGTGCTGTGTAGCACTGGTGGCTGGGTGGTGCTGGGTCTCGGGAAGGCCACATTAGAGCATGCCTAGAATAGTAAACTGGGTTTCTCAAAGGTTCTGGGGTTGGACACCGCTCTGGGCAGGCCCTCCCTCAGCCAGGCAGAGGGGGTGGCAGGTGGCACTGCCTGGGATTTCCCACAAGCAGAATCAAGGAAGGGATGGAGTGGCTGGTGTCCCCTCCCCCATGCTAGTATTCGTCCTGGTTGGGGGTGCGGTCTGAGCCTGGCTCCAGGACCCTTCTGCCCCCTGCCACCCAGAATCTGCCACGTTCCTATGGAGCCTTGCAGCTTTCACAGCTCTCACCACATTCTCCTGTGGCAAAGGTTCGATGAGGCCCAGGCTGCTCGCCCTGTTTACCGGAGGGCTGGCTCCGAGATGGGGGAAGATTAGTGGGTAGGGGAGTGTGTGTTTGGTCCCTGTGTTGGCCGGGCCTCTACCTAAGCCCCCAAGCAACCAGTGGGGAATAGTGCTGGTGCCCTAGCAATGAGAGGAGCTGGAGGAAGCTACCGTGGGCAGATTTGGGGTGAGCTTCTTCCCACCTATGCATTCTGTGGAAGGCAGGCATCAGGACCCCCTCCCTCTGCAGATCACCTCAGAGAGCCTGACATGGATGCCCCAGGGATGCTTTTCTTGGGTTGAAGACCCAGGAGCCCTTGCTGTTGTCCTACGATGTGGCAAGAATTGAGTATGGATCATCCTGCCATCAGCCCCCGCCCGCCAGTCTTGTCTTCCCAGCCCCTGGTGTCTCTCAGCAAGGTCTACAGGGCCAGGACTCTATGGGGTAGGGGGCGGGCAGGTGAGAGATCTCCCAGGCTGAGGCCTATCCCCATCGAAGTCTGACCTGGCCCCTGCCTCCCAGGGGTTGAGCCTGCCTCTAACTTCTTAACCCTTAAAGAAGAAAAGGTCCAGTCAAGGCCCCAGTCAGAAACCACTTTTTTTTTTTTTTTAGTTATCAACATCACCTGTGAGGGTTGGAGACTTGAAAACAGGAAATCAACCTGGGATGGGATTTTGTCACCTCACATAGATACACGTGTGCCCACACGTACCCACACGTGCACACGTGCTGACCACATCCGCAGCAAGGGGGCCTTAGCCGGGTATGTGTGGAGACACTTATGCAGGCCTAAGAATAAAATAAGATGTGCAAAGATGATGCACCCCCAGGACCCAAACACCACAAGGGGGTCCCAGAAGTCTGAGAGGAGAGGAAGCCCAAGCGGACTTGGGGTCCCTCTCATCGAACTCCTAAATGCCCCTCCATGACTCTGTGCCCCAGAGAGTCCGGGAAAGGGACGAGGTTGGGGCCGGCTTGGAAAGGCCTCTCTCCCGCCTGAGCATAAAGTCCATTCTCCACGGAGATGAAACTGTCGCGTGCTGAGGCTGGCAGGGGTGCCCAGCGGGCAGGCGGCTGGGGCTGGCAGGCTGTGTGGGCGGGCAGTGCCGCCCGCCGGGACAGTGGCCGGGGCGGGAGGACCGTGTCCAGAGTTGCCGGGCCATAGCAGCTGGTGTTGACGGTGGTGTTGACGGTGGTGTTGACGGTGGTGTAGGGGGCCTGGAGAGAGCCCAGGGAGGCTTGACCAGCCCCCTGCAGGCATGATAGGGAAGGAGGCCCAAGTCAGGCTCTACCTCACAGGAACCACCCCCCACCGCCCGGCTGCAGCCTCCTCTGTTCCCCACTCCCAAACAATCCCCCAGTCCTCACCCTTGCTCGCGCCTGTGTCTGGGGACTGGCGAGGCGGGGCTGGACCTTCATGACAGACCTGGCAGAGTGAGGCAGGTTAGAAGCAAGCAAGTGGCTAGCCCACCGGTGCTGGGGTTTAGACTGGGGCCGACAGGGGTTGGGTCTCACCAGTGCCTCTGCCGATGCAGGAGGTGGAGGAGGTAAACACAGCCAAAGAGGAGGACCCCTGACACCCCAAAGATCCCGGCCAGGTCAGCCCGCAGTATGGGAGCTGGAGTAGGGGCAGGGAGCCCTGTGTATAGACAAAGAGGCGTACCAGACGGGCGGCTGGTGCCCCCCTTCCTCCCTGCCCCCCTCTCCTCAGCCCCACCTTGGTCTGTGCTGAGGAAGAGGTTCCCACAGGCCTCCTGGGAGCCCTCAGGAAAGGAAACAAACTTGCAGCAGAAGGTGGTGTTGGGACTGGGGCTTCTCCCCTCAGACCCTTCTTCCACGGTGAGGGAGATGCTGGTTTTGGTTTCCCAATGGGCCTGGCAGGCAGGGGGCCACTGCTGGATGCCGAATTCTGGGTGCAAAACAGCCAGCCTAGTCCCTCTGGCACCATCAGGCCCCCCAGAGCTCACGGTCACTAGGGAGACAGAGCCAGATCCCAGGAATCCACAGCGGACAGTGAAGGACGGAGACTTGGTGGCCTCCATCTGAACTTGCACCCACACTTCAGGGGTCCCTGTGGGAAAGACACATAGGAGGACCCCAGGGGTGGGTCTCCACCCGACCCCCACGTCTTCCGCTTCTTGCCCCCAACTCACCAGCAGTGATGCAGAGTGTCAGCAGCACCAAGAGCAGGACCGGGGCCCGGGGCCTGTCCATGGCTTCCCTCTGGCCCCAGCTCCGGGAGCTGTCGTGGTGGGGACAGCACCTGTGCTTCCGTTATCATCGCAGGAAGTTTTCATGTGTGAGCAGGCCCGGGGAGCAGCTGCGCTCAGTGTTCTCCACACCCCTGCCCCACTTCCTTCTCTGTCTGCCTCGGCTTGGTGAACACAGGGCAATGGACCTCCTTCCTTGAGAGACTTGAAGCCACAGCGACAAGGTTTTCCCTGTACCGAGGCTGCGCTGCACGCGAGCGGGGCAGCGGGCTCAGGTTCCTTTCCCAGCCCTGTCTCCAGGTAACCCCCTGGGCAGGCCAGGCCCTGGGAAGTACGAGGGGGAAGAGACGGAGAACCAGGGGTCCCTGGTCTCTCCTTAGGAGGAAGCCTCTGGCCCCCTCCCCCCAGCTAAGGGGTGGGGAATGTACAGGAATTTGGGAAGGGGAAGATCCTTAGCAGGAAAGCCAGCAGGGGGCTACCTGAGAGCCGCCCGGCTTGACTCATCTATTGATCTCTCGCTCAGGCCTCCCTCCTGAGCCACAGCTTCATCATGTCCAGCAGCCCACTCAGCGGTGCCTCTTGGATGCCTGTCACAAACCTCCCCCAAACTGAGCTCTGTCCCAGCTGCAGCCTCCCCCCAACAGTGGAGGGCAGAGGGGCTTCCAGCTGCGTGGGCCAGAGGCCTAGTCCTCTTTGGCTCTTCTCTTTCATCTCCAGCCTGTCAGGAAACCCCAAGGGCTGCCCATCCTGACCACCTGGGCCCTTTGTCCCACTCCTTCCACCGCCTCCCTGACTCAAGCCGTCTCTTTCCACCAAGTATTGCTCCAAATTGCTTTCTGGCTTCTGTTCGTTTATAGAACACAGAGCGACCATAATGCTGCTGTGATCAGAACGCTTTGCATCTTGTCCTCTCCTGTGCCAAGCTTGCGTGTGGGGTGAGAGGAGCTTGGTGAGCTCACGGTTAGAGCCAAGGGCCCGTGCTGAGGACTTTTTTTTGTCCAAGGTGTGGTCAGAACAGAGCTGTGGCCCTGCCCCTGCCTGTTACGGTGCGTTTAATCCTATGTTAGCCAAAAACCAAATCCGTCTCTTGGGCAGACTCTCATCCCATCCACGCCTGAAAACCGAGAAAAGCAGGGCCTCCAGGTCGATGGCTTCACTGCTCCCAGCCCAGTGCGTGTCCTCTCAACCCAGTGACCTTCACTCAGATCCGACGGGCCAATCTCCAAACCTGATTCAGACCTGTTGTCACCACCTCTTCCACGACTGTTCCCCTGACGGGGTGGGAGCCCAGCTCAGTGTGGATGCAGAGCACAGGGGCATATGGAACCTCAGCCTCCCCGTCCTGGAAGCCTTCCTCCCACCCACTGAAATCCTCCCCACGTTGCGAGGCCCAAATCCCACCACCTCCGGGAAGTTGTCCCTGAGGGAACATTTCCCTCTTGGACAACCACTGCATAGACGGTGGGCCCTGGGCGGTGGCTGCCTGGGAGCCAGTCCTCTGGGGCTGACTCTAAGCCCTGGAGGGAGGGCTGGCTTTCAGAGCCCAATCACACAAGGGGAGAGCAATACTTGGTGGTCGATGGGACAAAAAGCAATGGCACAACTACTCACCAACATCTTCCATTTTGTCTTGTAAGCCACACTGTCCCCTCAGTGAAGTTCTCATTGTAGACGACTTAAAACACAGAAAATATCAAAGTTCGGGGCGCCTGGGTGGCTCAGATGGTAGGGTGTCTGCTTTCGGCTCAGGTCATGATCTCGGGGTCCTGGGATCGAGCCCCACATCGGGCTCCCTGATGAGCGGGGAGCCTGCTTCTCCCTCTCCCTATGCCTCTGCCTGCCGCCCCTCTGCATGTGCTCTGTCAAAAAAAAAAAAAAAAATTTTAAAAAAACAAAACAAAAAACATCAAAGTTCTTTCACTTTCCCCGTCATTCCCATTCCCCTCCCCATTTTTTCAGGAGGTTCAGACTGTCCATATTTTATCATTTCTGGATTTTGTGCATGGCTTAGGAAGACCAAATTATAAAAATAACATTGTAAGTTTTGTTTTTATCCCAAACTCTATGAAGGGTTTCCTTTTAGCCCCTAAATAATTTAATTTGGGGATGGTGTAAAATAGTGTAACCTTTCAGGTGGAGAGCCAATGTCCCCAAAGTGTCTTTACCTGTTTTGAAATGCCATCTTGATCATAAATTCTTACACATGATATACTTCTGGATTCTCTTTCCTAATCTGTTGATTCATTTGCTTATTTCTGTTTCAATACCACAAGGTCCTAAGTAGAATGCTCTTGTTTTGATGTGACGACCCTTGCCCTTTCTCAAAACTTTCTTGGCTATTCCTGAACAGTCTCCAGAATTCTGAGCTCCAGTGACACAGAAGGTCATTAAACCTGCCACCAAAAGCCCTGCATCATCAGGCCTGCATTGCTGGGCCTCTTCCCTTTTTGGCGCAGACACACACAGTAGATGACCTGGGTCTGATAATGACCACTTCCAGCTCTGACCTTTCCTAGTGAAGTCCCTGCAGCCACACCCAGCTCACGTCCTGCTGCAGTAATAACATCCCCTGTCATCAGTCTCTAGAATCAGGCCCGTGGGGGCTGAGTTGGTGCCATAATTCCATAGTTCTGCAAGCTTAGACAAAGCAACCTAACCTCCCAAATCAGCAATATCCCAACAGGGACAACCCTTTGCTTCACAGCTCGTGGCACTGCACTCACGCCTGGCTCCAGCCCTCAGTGAATGTTGGTGACCAGATTTTTTTAAGATTTTATTTTTAAATAATCTCCACACCCAACATGGCGCTCTTGCTCACAGCCCTGAGATCAGGAGTCACACACTCCATGGACTGAGCCAGTCAGGTGCCCCTGGTGACCGTCATTTTATGAGAGACCTTCCTCACCTGAGTTTGTAGAGTGAGACTCCTCACTGATCATTTTCACAAATATCTTCAATGTTGTGAAATGGCCATTTATGTTCCCCTATCAAAGTAACAATAAGAGGTAACATCGAGGTGTACACTATGTGCTAAGTTTACTCTGGGCAAGTCCCACAGATCCGTTCCGTACTTACAGTGCCCTTATGAGGAAGTAACTTGCCCAGGGTCACAAGGCTAGCACACAGTGAAGCCAGGGTTTGACAAAAATTTTAGCCCCAGAACCCACACTTATTACAACTATGCTGAGCTGCCTCTCCCACATTTAAAAATGTTAAATGACAAGGTTTTGATCAAAATCCAGCCATCCTCTGCCCCATCCGTGGATAACCTGTGCTCAGTTCCGAGGCTGGGCTTGCCCCCCCATCCCCTGATGGGAGCTGCTTCTGTGCCGACAGGAGCCGCTTTATCCTTCAGCGCCTGCTCCCCCACTCAATCCCTTTGCTGGCTCTCAACTACTGTGTTAAAGTTGATATATGTTCCTTCGTCTTCCCGAGTCCCAGGGTTCCTCCTGCGGGTGGGCCACTCCTCTACGCTCTGCCTCCCGTCTGACCCCCTCTTGCAGGGCCTACATCTCCAGCCAGCCCAACTCCACACGCAGGCCTCGCAGGGAATCTGTGCTCAAGGAAGACTTGTTTTGTGGGTCCTTTCCAGGCCTTGTGTTCCACCCTACCCCAGGGAAGGAACTACCGAGCTCAGGGAAGACTTCAGAATGTCTACGTGTGAAAATAAACCTTCCCCCGTCCTACCCCCTTATCCTCTCGTGCCATCCAAGAACAGACTCTCTTTTCATCCTGTAACATCCCCGGTCAGTGCTGCCTGGAATTCAAAACACAGGATGACTTACCTGTTAGCCCAAGATTTTTCTCCTTAGCCATCTGAAAAAAATCTCTTCACTTTATAATTTAGGAAAGAACACCACCAACTCACCTTCTGGCGCAGCTCCTGTCCACAACAAAGGTTAAAAAAGAAAAACCCTTAATTGAAGATGATTTAAAATAATTTAAAAGCTATTATTTGCGGGGGGGGCGCCTGGGTGGCTCAGTCGTTAAGTGTCTGCCTCCCGCTCCGGTCATGATCCCAGGTTCTGGGATCAGGCTCCCCACTCAGCTGGGAGTCGGCTTCTCTCTGCACCCCGCCCCCAAGCTCGTGTGTGTGTGTGTGTGTGTGTGTGTGTGTGTGTGTGTGTGTCTGCATGCGCTTGCTCTCTGAAATCTTAAAAAAAAAAGCTATTATTCGACCATAAGCTAACAGGCAATGCACAGCAGTACCAGTCCCCTGAAAAGCACTGCTCGGTGTCACCTGTCAACCCAGGTAAGGTCAGCCTGTGCAGAGGCCTCCACCTCTCTTATCCAAGCTGGCCTCCGCTCCGGGTCCAGCTTGGCTGGGGCCTGGCCCCTCAGCGCTGTTGCTCTGAAGCCCACGGCCCCTCCTGTTAGCAAGACGTTTACTGGCACAACATCCTCTAGAGCTGCGGTTTTCGGTGGGGGGGGTGTTTCAACCTCAGGTGGTACACAAGATATCAACTGCTGTCGTGCAGGACAAACTGACCAACATTTCTCATTTTTTAAAGATAAGAATACAATGAAGTTAACTTTTATTACCACTAAGTGACACTGGTGCTCTCACTGGGATCCCAACGTTCACCTCTAATCAATTAGATCAGCGTCCTAAAGTAAGAGACTCAAACCCAAAGCTGCTGCTGGCCTGCAGTCTACATGGTCCAAGATGCAGTGGGTTTTGTGGTCCTAACCATGCATATGCCCTCTAAACACATGGTCACTGTACTTGGAAATCATTTTCTGACCTGTTTAAGTCTTCCAAATAAAAGAATTTAGGGGGTTTTGGCTCATCTACTAAAAAAAAAAAAGTAAATGCAGCCAAAACAGCACCTATTCCATTTGCATTTACAAGGTTTTGAGAGGTACTCCTCTGTTATGCAGACCATAAAAATAATTACCAAAATAAACTTTCAACAAGAACCTCAGAAAACATTAGACCATGATTTAAAAAATGTTCCTCACTTTGCTATTTTTTTAGAGCAAAAAGGTATTTTGTACTATTAG